TGGGCACATGAAACAAGGGGGAGGGGGGAATCCAGCGTCATGCTCTTGCTAAGCATCGGTGACTCAAGCAGGGTTTAAGCTTGTGAAAAGGGTTGTATTTCACCCTCTGGGTGGATAGGGAAGCGACGGAAGGGGAGAGCTAGTCTCCAGCGTCAGAGATTCCTGGATCAGAATAGTGTGTGGTGTCTGTGCTGCGTGGAAGCAGAGAGGTAACTTCCTTCTTCTCCAAATCCCATAAGGAATCTCATTTCTGTGTTTACTGTGGGGCCGTGCAGGCTTTGAGTGGAAGCCAGTGAGCTAACGGGACATCTGCAGAGCCAAAAAAACCCTGCGGCAGCGAGTCTCCGAGTGACTTGGGCTCGCGCCACTGGGCTAAAAATAGCCATGCAGACGTTCAGGCTGGGGCTGGAGCCTGGGCTCTGAGACCCAGTGAGGCGAACGGCGACATGGCTCTTTCTAGCCCTGTAGCGGGAGCCTGAGCCAGTTGACCTGGGCTCTGAGAGTTGCTGTCATGGGGTTTTCTTTGCTGTGTTGTCGTCCCCCATAAGACTTCTCACCTGAGCAAGGGAGGCAGGACGCTCGGGGTTAACACCCCAGTTTGACCGTCCTCCCTGGTTCAGCACAGCACTTAAGCATGGGCCTGACTTTAAGCACACACCTCAGTCCCCTTAAAGTCTATCAGTGGGACTTAAGCATGTGCCTAAGTGCTGTGCTGGTTGGGGATGGGGCCTAAAAGCACACGTAGCTGAATCGGGACCCAAGCATGCCCAGGAAACCCCATCACTATAGGGTCTAATCCTTCAGTCCTTCCCCAGGTCAGACTCCCCTGGGCTTCCCCAGACGTTTTGCCAGGGTGAGTGTGGCAGGAAGGGGCAGGTTGCACATATTCTGCGGAGAAGTGGCCCTCAGGTCCCTCATGCACAAGGAGGTGAAATCAGGGCAGCCCTCACCCTGGCTCCCATGGGTTTCTCCCCACCCCCGGCACGGCTTGAAGGAGCTGGGTGTGAGGCATCCTTTCTCCGGTAGGGATGCAGGATCTCCAGAGAGATGAACAAAAGCACCCAGGCAGCTCTTTCCTTCCAAGGAGCATCTTTCTCTGTAATGTTCCCCATTCCCCATGTGCAGTATTGGGGGGGGGGAGGGGCCTGGCTAGCTCCCACAAAGGGCAGAGGCCCTTGGGTTGTCAGCCCACTAAATAAGCAAATACATAACGGGTAAAACGCCCAGGCAAACTGCTTGATGCTTCGATCGTCTCAAACTAGGTGCGGGGCCTGATCCATCTCTTACTGACGGTGGTGTAAATCAGGAATAACTGCATGGGAACCAATGAGGTTACGTAGGGTCAAGCTGCTGTCATGAGAGAGGGATACGGCCTCTAATTACACAATATTCTGGGGGTTGTGTGGTGACTGCACAGGGCCCTGATTCAAGGGGAAAGGCCAGTTGCCTGGGGGAAGGGACATGTAGGATTGCATCCCCATGCTGCCGGGTCTAGGCGGCGGAGTGGGCGCCAGGAGCCGTCTGATCGTGGTGTTTCTCAGTGCTTGTCGTTAGCAGAGGCTTTGTGGAGAGTCCCAGCAGCCTTTGCAGACGGCCGCCCGGCCCTTCGGGTCACACACTGCCGGCGCTCTGTGGTCCCAGCGCAGTCGTTATTACAGAGGTGTTTTTCCTCATTAAAATGTGCCCGGCTTTTTGATCTCACTTCTCTTGGCTTTGCTGAAAGAAGGTTATTTATCCCCCTGCACAAGTCGGAGGGGCCAGTGATTTGGTTTTGTCCGTGTTTCGTTTGAAATCCGCAAAAAGGTTTCCTTTGACTTGCCACATTAACACTAATGGAGTTTCCACCCCTATAAAACACAGGGGATTAACCCTTCAGACTCTGAAAAGTCCCTTGTTCCCCGCCAGTAATGATCTGTGTGTGCAGATGACTATACATACACCGACAGATGCTACACATCCCCACACATCTGTACGCTGCACAATGTGTGTGCTGGCTATATGAGTGTATGTGTATATTCAAATCAATATAATATGTGACCATACAATAAATATTACTTCTAGATATAGATCTAGATAGATTGGTAATATAATGTCTGTATTTTGTATGAATATTTAGATACCTATATAATAAAAATACACACATAAATTTAATAAAAATACACATATATCTTTGGGTGCAATGCTTAGGCCTCTGTTATGCAGGAGGCCGGACTAGATGCCCATAATGGACACTTCTGGCCTTAAATCTATTAATCTGCTGTCAATATATATATAGTAACTATATATTTCTAAAGGAATATATACTGTAGGTGAGTGGGAGGGACATCCACTATCTAACACACTGTATCTCAC